AGTGTGTGATCACCTGGTGGTGTGACACTCAGCCCAGGACGGGGAGCCTGCACACACTGTAAGGGACAGAAAGAATCTGCTCTACCCCTTGTTGCTTTTTCTGTCTTCCTCGTCCATGAACAGTGTCCCCTCGGCCATGAGCCACCCTACCTTGGAGCCAGTGAACTATGGACTGAAACCTCTACAAACCGTCAGCAAAATAAACCTTTCCCCTTTAACTTTGGGTGTCAGTACACCGTCTCAGCAACTAGCAAAGAAATTACAAGACATAAACTAAGGAATTTTATGGGTCAGAACTGATTGCTGTCTTTGGCAACATGGAAGATAATGTTTACTTTAATGATAGTATAATGATTTGGATAAAAGAATCCAGTAAGATGGGATCTGAGAAAATGAAAAAAGCAGAAGACAGCAAGCCTAACGGAAACTTGGAGTTGACACTGAATACAATTGAACGAAGACAAATATGTACAGCCTGTAAGAGAAATATTTAGCAACAAACATTAAAGCAGCTTAAAAGAATAGAAATATCATATTTTTTTTCATTGGGAAGACTCAACAGTATAAAACAAATAACTGATTTATAAAATTTATAAAAAAGTCAGTGCAATTCTACCTAATATTTTTTATAAAGATATCAACATTCATCTGAAAAAACAGAAATACCACAAAAGTCCACAAATATGTCTTATGGCCAAGAATTAATATGAAGATATTTATTAATTCTAAGCAACCGAATTTGAAAGAGCACATAATTTCTTTAAAATTTCAACTCGTCAACAGCGGGATAAAATCTATAGCTTGCTTTTGATAATTACTAGTACTGACAACAGCAGGTTTTTAAAAAAAACAAACTTAGGGTATGGTTATAACTCAGTGACAGAACATTTGCTTAGCATGTTTGAAGCCCTGCATTTAATTTCCAGGACCACCAAAATGAGGGGCACAGTACTTGCCTTGCATGCACCAAGCCTTGATTTTGACTCTCAGCAAAGAAAGGGGTAGGGAGGACAGAGAGACAGAGACAGAGACAGACAGACAGAGAGAGAGACAGAGACAGACAAAGACAGAGACAGAGAGAAGAAACACAGACAGACACAGAAAAGGAAAGACAGAATGGAGGGAGGGAGGCCTATGATTTCAAGACATAACATCAGTCAGAAACCTAAAAGCCCATAACTTACAAGGTGAAACACTTCACTTCTTGTGACTGAGCAGTAATACACTGTATGGGTTATATACATTTTTGTTTATCAGTTATTTCTATCTTTTAGTTATGAGAAATGCCACTGTAAGCATTCAGATAGTTTTTAGGTAGATACACATTTTTTCATCTCCTGGGTATAGAAGCAGGAATGCTAATTCTGGGTGCTAACACATAGTACATCTAACTGCGAATGTCAGAGAAATGGCCAGTCTTTTCCCAAGAGGCTGCATCATTTTACAGTTCAACAGTATAGGGGCTGCAAGTTTGCCACATTTTCATGAATATCTGTTATTACCTGAATTGTTGATTTGAGCCATTCTGGGTATAAAGTGGTACCTCACTATAGTAATACTTAAATTTTAATTAAAATCAAAATTTTTTAAAACTTGGCTTTCAGTTAACAAAAATTATAAAAGCGATTATGGTAGAATCCACTTCATTATACTATAGAAAATTTTTCTCCAAAGAAAAGATCAGTATAGATAATCATGAATTATTTCCACGGAACAGAAGTTCTTCCAGTTACTAATGTGTATGCTATAAACGCAAAGAAAGTTCTACTGGCAGATATCTGGAAAATCTGCACTTAGAAGGTTTATTTCATTATTGTGGTTTTTCTTACCTTTTTTGGGTACCAGGAATCAAACCTGAACCTGTGCTTGCCAGGAAGACGCTCATGCTGCTAAACTAAGTCCCAGGCCTTCCCAGTACTTTTTAAATGGCCTACAATGATTTCAAACTTTTGGCACAGAATTTTTTTTTTCATTTTTTTTTTTTTTTATTTAAGAGGAAAAAGAGAAAAACACAAAACAAAACAAAGCGCTGTAAGGGTACATGTAATACAGAACTACAAAAAAAAAATAATAACAGTAAGAAATCACCTGTTAATAGATTACATATTATCATCTTGAAAATAGTTGCTCAAATCACAGTATCAAAGAATCCAAAGTGGACATTCAAACAGGGAGACTGCAAACAGCTGTGTTCAATGATTCAAAAACATTGATATAGTCAGCTATTTAACACCCCTAAACATACTTGCTGTTATATCCGTTAGAGCTCTTTTTTTTTTCCCCTCTCTTTTTTACAACAAAATGTATACATTTTGGATTTTATTACTCCTTAGTTCTTATTACTTTTTTGGGGGGGAGAGAATACAGTCAAATATGGCAAAACAAAGCTGTCAGTCAAAACCAAGGATAGACATAGCACATGGTGTAGAACAGAGTACAAGGTTATCAACAATGGTTATCAACGTTGTTTCTTGTTTCCTTAAAAAGAATTGTCTATTTCATTAGATATTATAAAGTTGGACAAAACAGTAGAGAACAAGACCAATAAAACTGAGGCATTGTAAACATTACAGGACTTCCAAAGGAGACAATAGTCTAACCAGAATGGGCATCTTAGTGAATCTTATTGCCTTCAAAGTAGTTGCCTATACCCTCAAACTTGATACTATCATACAGAATGGAACAGAGTCTAATCAGTCAAAACAAGATCGTGGGAGTATTACAAGACTTCAAAACAAGTTAATAGGAAATCAAAAAGAGTTACTATTATATATCCTAATTTTTTAAATTTTTCCCCTTAATTAAAACAAACATAAGAAATAACTAAATAATTTTTTTAAAGAATAAGGGGGAGATTGAGATAAAACAGGACATAACAATATAACAATAGAGGTCAAAACATGACTGTTTCAGCACAGAAATTTTTTGTACAAAATAAATATCTCACTCAGAAATCAGATTTTGAAAAAGCTATTAAGTATACTATTTATAAGTTCTCTAAAAATAATTAAAGTAAAACTACCATTTCTTCATTAAAAATGATAATAGTATCATAGTTAGCTTCACGGGATTAGCTTTCAAAAAAACAATACAAACTAAGTGACAATGGTCAGAACCAACTGTGTGAGGATACTGGGGGAAAAAGTCAAAAGTATTTAGCAACCAAGCAAATTTAGGACCAACTAAGATTCTCATGTGTGTCTACTGTTCAAGCATTTTTAGTATATTCAACACAAGAAAGGGAAGTTACCTGAATTCAAAACACTGTGCTCTAAGCCATGTTCACATTTTAAATTAAATTAAAAATTAATTTGATTAATTATTTTAATCAATTATAATTCTTAGCCAATGGAACATGGAGTCCCTTCTGAATACAGCCAGTTCCCTTTCAGATTCTCTGTCATGTTGGATATACAGAGAAGGTCCTCAAGGCAAGCCAAAAGAGGGGGTCACTTTCGACTCTCAGCTCCAAAACTGATAGCTAAATAAACCTCTCTTCTTTACAATTACCCAGCCTCAAACCTCTCTTCTTTACAATTACCCAGCCTCAGATATTTTGTTATAGCAAAAGTAACAAAAATGAACTACACAGTAAAATGTTCAGTTAATTCTCTGCCCTTCCAACATGTAAATTATGAAGTTTCTTGTGTCTGATTATTATTTCTTGTCTTGAATCCACTGTGCCTTTGTTCCTAATTACCATGATAAAGACATGGTTTTCAGATTGTCTTGTGAATTTTCCAGTCCAGGCAACATCCACAAAGCTCAAACTTTAAATGAAGGTCTTTACACACACATACACACGCATTTTCATTTGTAGAAAAAGCAACATGAAAAGATCTAACAAAACTAAAAGCACAAAAAATACAAAAATACTAAAATAATGTCATAGTGCCAATTTTTACTATTTATATACCGACAGATAAATTAAGAGGAGAACTGTTAACTTCTCACATCACTTCTTTTTCCCTTTAAATGAATATGAAATCTAGGGAATCACTAAGCCCATCCTTCATAAACAAGTTAGAAAACCTCTATCATCTAACCTGTGATTAGTACGATTTTCTATTTTTTTATAGCAATGGGTTTAGAAACATAGGTCAAGAAGAAAAAAAAGTAAAATGACAAAAATATGCTATTCAGTTCTAGGCTAGTCCTTAGTTTAGAAGAGTCTATAAAGATTGAAACACACTGGCAGGAATGCCTTAATAAACAATGGCAAAACCTATATGTTACATGTAGAGAACTACACTGGTCTCCAAAGAAAACCACAGACATACTAAAAGAAGACATTAACTTACAGGAAATACTTAAAATATGGATATTAGACTTTAACTCAAATATAGATCAAAATCCAGGCCGTAGGAACAATGTGCAAAGACTCTGGGGTAAGACAACCATGAAATCTCTGAAAAGACAGTGTACCCCTGTCTACCCTAGGAAATAGAAGTTTTCTGAGGGCTGCAAAATACTTAAGCTTCTTCACATGCATTTGTCTGTGTGCGTCATCTATTTCTGAAGAAAGAACTAACGATTTTCCACAGTTTCAGACTCTGTAAGGAACACACTGTGTTCTGCCAGGTACTCAAGTCTTCCTATTTGACTGTAACTGGAAATAGCACTCTTTAGTAGCCAAGGTGTCTACTGATTTTCTACTACAGTGTCTACTGATTATCTACTACAGCTAAGACAGCACAAGGGTACACTTTTAAGAATGTATCATCTGGTTGATTAGTTGATTATAATAAATATAATCAGAAAAGATCATAAATACTCAATGTCTAATAAGGACCACAGTAAAGAAAAAAAAAAAGACAGTACTGAAATGATTTAACAAAGGTTCATGGAATAGCTAGAATTTGAACATGGACTTAAAGAAGAATATAATCTAGTTAAGGTGAAGATGCCTGACAAATGAAGACTCCTTAAAAGTACAGCATCACAAGGCCTGGGCTCTATGCAACAACCGCTAAGAAAGCAAGCTTGGACATTACACTTACCGCCATATATGGTCTACACCCAGCATCTCTTGTCTTGGCAATGGAGTCCACAAGCTGTCCACTGATACCAAAGTCACAGAGTTTAATGTTTCCACTTCTGTCCAGAAGAATATTTGAAGGTTTGATATCTGCAAGAGATAGATAGCATTTTGCATACAATTAATAAAATAAGTATTTGAAGCAAAAATATTCAAAAACATTAAGACAACATAAATAATTAAGCCCTTCAATTCAGACATGTAAGAAGGAAAACATCTTCATTTAGCACATACAATCAGGCTTTAAATACATTAACTTCATAATTTTATTGGCTACAATTGTGTGCATACAACACAGCCAAACTCATTCCACCAACATCTTAATTCAAAGCACACAGATGGATCTTCTTTTAATATCTTCATATTTATAAAACTACAATTTTTCTCTATTATAAACAGAAAAAAAGGTTTTTAAATGTCAGTACTTGTAATACTCATCCTGCCAACCTGAGAAGTTTAACTAAGCAACTCAGCAGGAGGCCAGGGGTCTCACTGTAAACATCCTTAGCCCGTGCAGGAGGAAGGCCCAGAGATGATGAGTGCCACACCTTCCCTAGGCGGGGGAGCCTGCTCACGGGTACAAGGGAGGAAGAGAGGCTTCCTCCCCCGACCTTTTCACTGCTCCTCTTGCCTTTGCTGTCTTCTGCCACCTTGAACTTTGCCCCTCTGCCACACCACCCTGCTCTGGAGCCAACCGATTACAGACTGAAACCTCCACAAACTGTGAGGCAAATAAACCTTTCCTTCCTTAATTTTGGGCACTGGGTATTCTATGTCTCAGCAACAAGAGAAGAGTAAGACAATGCTTAAAAATTACATATCAGAGGGAGCACCAAGATGGCAGAGTGGTAAGCAGCAGAAAAAGAACTCAGTGAGTTACCATCCAGATGCTAGAATACAGCAACATGAGACAGACAAAAGGAAGGAAGTGGGTCCCCTGGGCCCAGAAGAATCTGAAGTACAAATTGAAACCCATGGAGAGAGTTAAAAGACAAACTTCAAAGAAGGAGGCGGCAGCCAGGGAGCCTTCTCCCTGAGACCGGACTCACTAGTGGAGCAGCTGAAACTTCCAGACACACATGGTGACAGCTGCTGAGCCCAAAGGTCTCCACAGACAGACGCAGCAGTGGAGGGAGCAACGGATATGTAGACCTGTACTAGCTAGCAGGGAGTGCTGAGGCTTCAGTCCCCCCACGAGACAGCTACTGGCTGGGAGCTGTGCTGGGAGGGGATGGCTGAGTTCAGAACTCACAGCTGCTGCTGGCTCCATGCAGTGGCTCCCCGCTGGACTCAGGCCCTTGAAAGGTGCACTGACAGCTGCAAGCCACACGAACCTTGAGATTATCCACACCCCGCCAAAAAGCTACTGCCGACTTGCTGGGATAGTTGGGCACAGACAGGGACTCTGTCTGCACAGATTGTCTACCAGTGACAGGAAACAAATCTGGAAGTGGATTTTTTATTTTCTCTCTCTCGTTTTTTTGTTGTAGTTTTTTCTTTTTGTTTTCATTTTTTTCTCTACTATTTGACCTTGTCTTTATATGAATGTGAACATGGCTTCTAGACTACAGTTGTGGGTCTGTTCTGTTCTTCTTATTCCTACTCTCTTTCCCTCCAGTTTTCTATACCAGCTTCCAGAATTAGCATGGTCCCTCTCTGTCCTCCAATCTTACTTCTAATCTCTTCTCTTCTTCCACTTCTCTATGTTCTCCTTAACCCATTTTAAATTTTAACCCTGAGGGCAAAATTGACATATTAAGGATGTACAGACTGCATGTAATTTTCCAGTTTGTTTTACATTTTATTATACAACTACAAATCTAGTTCATACAGTTAGAAGTAGTATATTAATGTTTAGCTTAGTTTGCCATTTTCTAAGCTGTATTTGATGTTACTGGTACCAGCATAGCCAAGTGACATAACTGTTCTAAATAGCTTTTCTTCCTGGTATTCCATGACTAAGTCAATTGACTAAGTCACAGAAAATACTGTGGCACAGTTCCAAAGAACCAGGAACTGGGTCAAGCAAGCAGGAACTTCTCATTTCCAACAAACTGACAAGCTAGGATCTTCCAGCAGACTAAAAACCCAAAAATCAGCTACATCTGGGAGATACCTTGAGAAGGAATCATTACCTAAGAGTCCTAAACACTAGCAATAAAGCAACACACCTCAGGCAGTTTACAAGAATAACGCAGGAGGTAAAACTAAATAAAGCAAAGAAAATGAGAAGACACTTGAACAAGTGCAACTGCAAACATCCAGTTTACCAAAGGCAAACCCAGGGGGCAAGGAAATAGGACAGAGAGCTTGGTGGTAACAAAAAAACCAACTGAATGAGGCTCTAGAAAAAAATCAAATCAGAAATGATTTCTCAGGTATCTACAGAGATAAGTGTCCAAATAAAGACCATGTTCAGTGACCGCACAGCAGATACAGACCAAAAAAAAACAGACAAGTGTAAAAAAATCCTGGAAAGCACAAATGCTCAGCATAGGAAAGAAATGGAATCCTTAAGGCAGATTCAAGCAGATAATCAGGAGAATAAAAATTCTACTGTAAGTATTTACAATAGATTAAGCCAACATGAGGGCAGGATCTCAGACACAGAAGACAGGCTTGAAGTTAACGATCATGAAACAATTCTCAAAAATACCAAAGGTCTATGAGAAATTGATCCAGCAGGTGCTAAATGAGGCAAAGAAGAATATCTTAAGATTGACTAGTCAATCAAAAAGCAGGAAATAATACAAACGATATTTTTTAAAAATCTGTTCACAGACATCATCGCAGAAAACTTCCCTGGTAAAGAAAAAGAATTTGACACAAGATAAGTAAGACATATAGAACTACAATTAGCCACAATAAAAAAAAAAATCCACAGGGAGACACACCATACTCAAAATCCCAGAAATTCAACACAAGAAAAGAATCTTAAAAAGCTGTTAAGGCAAAGAAACAAATCACCTATAAAGGAAAGCCCGTAAGAATCACAGCTGACTTTTCAGCACAAACCCTTAAGAGCATGGAGTCAATCAAGTATTGCAAGTTCTAAAGGAAAACAAGCTTTAACATGGATTGATATACCTCACAAAAATACCTTGCAAAACTAATGGAGAAATAAGATACCTTCCGTGACAAAGAACTACTGAGGAAATTTATGACCACAAAACCAGCATTCCAAAATGTTTTGAAAGAGATAACAAGGACCACAACTCCATGAATCCCAACTGAAGAATCCAATCAAGGCAAACAATTAAACAGAAAGAGGCGTAAAAAAGAGGGGGCATCAACAACAAATAACATGACATGGTAAGTCTATAGTATCAGTTATAACTCTCAATGTTCATGGTTTCAGTTCACTAATCAAAAGACACCCACCGGCAGAACAGATCAAGCAGCAAGTTCCAACAATAAGCCGCATACAAGGAACACATTTAATTCAAAAAGAAACTCACAGACTGAAAGTCAAAGGATAGAAAACAATACTCCATGTGACAGGAACCCAGAAAAAAGCAGGGGTCGATATCCTATTTGCAGACAAAGTGAATTTCAAGTCAAGACTTACTGAAAGATAAAAGTACTACATCCTTTTAAAGGAACCCGAAAATAGATAATCACCGTAAATATATACACAGTAACTATCAGCGCACCCGATTATATAAAACAAATACGAGTATGAAAAATCAAATAAGCACTAATATAACTGTACTAGGGGATCTCAATACCCCCATTATCACAAAACTAGACAAAAAATGAACAAGGAAATATTAGAACTTTTGCACAAATGGACTGTCTACCGTGCTTTCTATCCCACATCAAAATATACATCCTTTTCGGCTGCACAGGGAATGTTCTCTAACACATCACATACCAGCTCACAGAACATGCTTAAGTAAATGCAAAGGAACTGAAATTATCCCATGCATATTATCGGATCATAAGTCAATGAAACTGGTAATCAATGGCAAAAGAAACTACAGGAACCTTCATAAATACACAGAAATTAAATAGCACCTTCTTCAACAACCAACAGGTCACTGATGGGAGCTGCTGAGCTAGTGACCGTTCACGCGTAAGGAACAAAAAGCACTCCTGCCATAACAGGAGTGCCCAAAGGGCACAGAACACTGAGAAATGCCTGCAGGTATGGAGCGCTGGAGGTGAACAGGTGTTCCAGTCCCCAGAACACGGGCCTTAAGAAGTGAGCTAGTTTAAGCAACAGGGTGTGATATGACAATTGTAGAGGAGTCTCTGCCTCCTGGTGGAAGAGGGCTCCACGTGACACCAGTTTTATGTTTCTGTCTTTATTTTTTCATCCTCTCGTTGTTCTTCCCCCAGGGATCTTAAGAGAGCTCTCGCAGACACTGATATACTGAGACCGAACAGGGACCAGGCTAAGAAGTGGCAGGCAAGGGGACACTGCAATGAGGGCACAAAAGGAGAGAAGCTGCACTGATAATGATTTCATCAGGTCTTAAACTTGGGGCAAGAAAGAGAAAAGGAAAAGTCAGCCAGGGAAACAAACAGGTCCGCGAGGGAGAGAAACAAGCAGGCTCACCAGGGCCAAGCAGGAAAAGGCATATTAAATTTGCAAATTTTAAGCAAGGGGCAAACAGTTCTCAAAGGACACGTATATAGATATTTATAGAGCTGTTTGTTGTGTTTTTGATTTCTGTACTTTTGTGGATTTTAGAAAGTGTTGTTCTGGTCAGATGACCACAAAGCATTAGTTTAAAACCCAGCCCTAAGGAAAAGAGAGGATAGAACACTAGCCCCTGCAACAGAGCATATTCTCTCTGAGTTTCTTCAATTAGACAGGGAAGGAACAGTGGCGAGGCCAAGGGGATCCCTCCTCATTGGAGAAGTGTTCTGGTGGTAAACTCTACTTTACAGAGCCCGATAAATTTAGTTGAGCCACAAGCAGAGATTTCCACCTTTTCAGCTCTGAATTCTGCTGCATTGCAAGGTGAAAATTTATTTTCTCAGTGAAAGGAGTTTTCTCTCTCTTTCTTACAATTAGGAAGTCATTGCAAAGGATATGTTGATCAGAGAGTGCCTTTGCTGGCAAGAATCGTGGACTTATTTTT